AGATGACCCAGGGTGGCTTAAGTGAAAGGCCTTCAGAGCTCCCAGCTCTGCGAGTTCCCTGGGCACCGTCAGGCACTGTCCCAGGAAGTGCACTGACATGCAATGCCACGCCATCTCCACTGAGGAGCAACGCCTCAGACATGCTGAGAGATGCTGCTTTCCATTCAGAGTGGCTACCGCTGATGTCTCTGACAAAACTGGCAGTCTGCTGGCTGGGTCTCTTAAAACATTTTTTTAAAGGATTGAAACCGTAAGATGCAGGTGCCCCCTTGTATTATCTGTAAACTCCAGCACATTTGATGCATTTCAACTGGTCTCCAAGGTTTTAAATACAACTCATTAGCCTATCCTTTTCCACTAAAAAGTTTCCACTTATAATGTTGAGAATTGGACTCCTTTGTCTTTTTTTTTTTTTAATTGCACATCTGTTTATAGAGGTTGGCAAAAGACACTGGAAGTGATTGTGAAATTCACATCGTGATTCCTCAGAAATCAGATCCTGGCAGGGAATGCCCAGAGCTGTGGTCAGGAGGACACCCTCCCTACCGTCTCAGGAGTCTGCCCGTGCAGCTCCCCGCCAGGCAAGATGCCCTCAAGGCGGAGTCCCAGGTGGACACAGCTGGGTGCCTCTCTGATGATGGCTGCTCTGGTGGTGGACCCCCCGGTGTCTCCACTATGGCTCTCAAGGCTGCAAAGTGCTACTCTTTTCCGGCCAGCTGAAGAAATACCCCCTCCATCTGGGATTGCATGTCCTGCTTAGCGATTTCAAGCAAGTATTTCACCTTTTCATAGGCAAGGACATTGTCCTCATCAGGGCTTGCACCATCACTCTGATTTCCAATGCAGACAGCCAAATGGCGGCTTTTAATTCTTAAAAGAAAGTGGCATTGAAAAGAAAAACTCACCCATCTCATGGTCTAAAACAAAGCAAAACAAGTCAGATGGCTCTGCCTAACCCCACACAGCATCTGTTATGTAATCTGAAATTTCTGTGTAATTGAGTGAGATGTGGTTTCTTTGTAGCATTCTGGGCATGGAATCCTGATCTGCTAATTCCAGAGACTGAACCAACAGAGGAACACAGAGAAAGCTACCCTGATGTGTGAGAAGGCCAGGTAAGAATGAGCACACAGAGGGGTGTTTTGGAAATTGATTTTCATCTCCTGAGACTCTGGGAAAGGAGTGAGAAAGTAGAGGGAAAACATGGACATTTATGAAGAGCTGGCAGAAACCAGGTTCTCATCACTTTCCAGGGCCACTCGGGAGAGGCCACCTGAGGCTCCCGTCTGACTCCCCCACTGGGAGTCAGAATCAAATCACTTAATTATCTCACAGACAACACTGGACACCTTTTATGGTTTAACTGGTTCACATACTATTTCAACTACTTTGTTGAATCTTTTCAGCAGGTGGGGGAAACTGACACCTTGAATCACAAAGGCTGGCACTGTGCAGGGCCAGCTTTGCCTGTTCTTGCTATTTGTTTGCTGACAAGACAAATGAATTATTTTGCTTTTATATTGCTAGAGGAACATGTTCTTTGATGCAAAATTAGGATTATAGGTAAGCAAACAGAAAAAACGCTTAACAATATGCATACAGTACTTGTATTTTTCAGGATTCTTTTTATATATACATAGTAATTTACATAGCTATATTTATTTACAAAAGTGAGATTTTACTGCACATCATTTTTAACACCTGAGATTTTTTGTTTTCATTTAACAACATAAAGTTTTGTAAAGCAAATATTTATCCAAAAATACTTTTTACTGACTGAAGACTATTTCGCCCTATGGAGTTGCCATCCAGTCCCGTATCTGAGCAGTCCCTGACTGTGGGAAGGCCACCCTCAGGAGAGAATAGCTCTCCCCAGCTCCTGCCCCCAACCCCTCCCCCCCACCCCCCCCTCCCCACCAGTCCCATTCCTGCCAGTCCTGGCTGCCTGAAGGTTGCAAATTAGTTATTCAGAGAAACACAGGCTATTTAGGTTTTACAAAAATCAATGAGCTTTCAGTTTCTAATGAAGCTACCAACACCCTAATTTTTCCCTGTCTTCATGGTCTGCAACCAATGGAAGCTAAGGACAAAGATTCCTTTCTCCAGCAACTACACTGTCAGGCAAAGCGACTCTGGGGTCTGCATGAGAATAAATATGGATTTTATTTATGTTAGCAGTAGTTACTGCTGAGAGGCACTATTTGAGAAGGTTTTCATTATATTTTAAATTATTTTTTCAAATCTCCTGTGATAAAATCATCTATACTTTTCTATGGAAAAATAATGGAATGAGTGTCATGTTTTTAAAAGTTTGGGGAGAGATCAAGATGACAGAAAGGCATGGAGCAAAAATAAAAGTTTAGATGCATTTAGGTGACGTCAATAAAGCCTACTTCTTTTTTTGACAAAGGGGATCATCCTATGGACATTGTTGGGTGAATTACAGAACCCGTCTGCGCTGTCCCTGGCTGGGCACGTCACAGTCCATCCTTGCTGCTGTGCGGTTCTTCCCTGGGGGGCTGGCTGCAGGGGCAGACACAGGGTCTGTGGGTCCTGGGTCTCATACAAATCAGATACAAAGTGACATGTGTATTTAGAAGGAGAAATCATACAAATGAGACAAAATGTTTTCCTTATGCAAATTTCATGATATAAATGATAGACACAACCAGTGCACTGTTAGGACCCCCAGGGCCTTGGAAGGGGCTTCATTCATATTATTAGCTTTACAACAGATCCAGTGCAGGTGAATGCACAATGATTTACTTCTCCATTTTTTCTTTGATGGATATTTTGGCTGGTTACAGTTTTATTTTGCAGTTTTATTGTTTCCTATTAAAAAAAAAAACACTGGGAAGTAAGTTTTATCGGGGAGGCTTTGTCAGCTGAGGTATTGGCGATGGCTGTGTGACCTTCCCTTCCCTTGTAGATCTGAGAGCATCCAGGCCATCAGGCAAGGAGGGTGAAGGAACCTGGGATTCTGGGTTCCAGGCAGTACCACCTTGAAGAAGTGCTTAACAAAGACACCACTAGAGTCATCTGGGGGTGCTTGTGAAAACTGCAGATTCCTGGGCTGTGGAACTGGGGCAGGGCACAGAAACACGCATTTTGACAAACACAGCTTAGAATTCTAGAACCAGCAATGTGGGCTTCAGAAGGAGCACAGGTATGCGGCCTCAGGCAAGCCACGATTTCAGTTGTCTCCTTACGAGGGAAAGGGAGCCAGGGATAGGCGTGTGGAGGACAGGTGAGGGGCTGGGGCAAAGAACAGACAGCAGGTTCATTCCCTGCCAGAGCTGCATTCCCCGAGCATGCGCGGTAGCCTCTGGATTTTAATATAGAACCCAGGCAGCCCTCCCGTGACTCCAGGAGGGACCCTGTGCCCCGCCTGGCTCCAGCAAGGACACAAACCGCTGTGCGCCCGCGTCCCTGCAAGCTGGCCGGAGCTGATGGTGCAGTGTGAGGGAACCGGCGGTGGATGGCTTCTTTTCAATGGGACTAACACGTGTCCACTTCACAAAAGTGGCGTGCGGGGGGTTCCCACAGGGGAGCATGGCCGGGAACTCCTGAGAAGCCCCTTTATTTCAGAGTGGAGAGACATTTTGGCTGCCCTGATCCCTGAGCTCCTGATGCTTTCTGTCTTCCTAGAAGTAAAATGGCCATAAACCGAACTTGTCACAGGTGACCTCCAGCATCGTATTCCCGTTGCTGATATTATTTTTGCAAGGGAGCCGAAAAGACGAGCAGGATTTCAAACCTGGCCCTGCCCTTGCCCACTGCATGTGGACTAGAATCTAGTCCACAGGCTGGCCCAGAGTTAACTCCACAGCAAATCTAAACACACGGGACACACATCACGGGATTCTTAATCATGACCAGGCACCTGGTGAATGCAACTGGAGAATTAAAAATCTGAGGCATGGCCGGGCGCGGTGGCTCAAGCCTGTAATCCCAGCACTTTGGGAGGCCGAGGCGGGTGGATCACGAGGTCAAGAGATCGAGACCATCCTGGTCAACATGGTGAAACCCCGTCTCTACTAAAAATACAAAACATTAGCTGGGCATGGTGGCACGTGCCTGTAATCCCAGCTACTCAGGAGGCTGAGGCGGGAGAATTGCCTGAACCCGGGAGGCGGGGGTTGCGGTGAGCCGAGATCGCGCCATTGCACTCCAGCCTGGGTAACAAGAGTGAAACTCCGTCTCAAAAAAAAAAAAAAAATTCTGAGGCATGTGTATCAGTGTGACAGAGAAGATTTCCCTGAGAAAAGGCTTAGGCAGGGTCTGGAAACAAGGTAGAAAGGGATGGAGCTACAGCCAGAGGGTCAAGGAAGCACTTATGTGCTAAACACACCTTGAACCACATCTTCACTTTCTCTTCTGTAAAAAGGGGACAGAAACAAAGCTTCTCTTACTAGCTAATATTACTTTATCTGCATATGAGTGCCTGTGTGTGTCTGTGTGTCTCTGTGTCTCTGTGTGCTGTGTGTATGTCTGTGTATCTCTGTGTGTTGTATGTCTCTGTGTGTATCTCTGTGTGTTGTGTATCTGTCTCTGTGTATGTCTGTGTTGTGTATCTGTCTCTGTATCTCTGTGTGCTGTGTATCTGTCTCTGTGTATCTCTGTGCTGTGTATCTGTCTCTGTGTGTATCTCTGTGTGTTGTGTATCTGTCTCTGTGTGTCTCTGTGCTGTGTATCTGTCTCTGTGTGTATCCCTGTGTGTTGTGTATCTGTCTCTGTGTATCTCTGTGCTGTGTATCTGTCTCTGTGTGTATCTCTGTGTGCTGTGTATCTTGTCTCTGTGTGTATTTCTGTGTGTTGTGTATATGTCTCTGTGTGCTGTGTATATGTCTCTGTGTGTTGTGTATATGTCTCTGTGTGCATCTCTGTGTGCTGTGTATGTCTCTGTGTGTCTCTGTGTGTATCTCTGTGTGCTGTGTGTATGTCTCTGTGTGTATCTCTGTGTGCTGTATGTCTCTGTGTGTATCTCTGTGTGCTGTGTGTATGTCTCTGTGTGTATCTCTGTGTGTTCTGCATATGTCTCTGTGTGTATGTGTCTGCATGCAATCCTTTGAGTCACTGCACATATGAGAGAATTGTGTCTCTAGAGGGGAAACTGGCCCACACTCCCAAGCTGCCCTCTGCAAGGAGCTGTGTGTTGAACCAGGACTATCCTTCCCAAAGGACAGGGCCCATGTCAGGACCCACTGAAGCAGCTTCAGTAAAATGACTGTGGCATGCCTGCCTGCCGAGGGTGAATAATGACAATGACAGTAGCAGCTGCCAGCCTCACTGGGCCACCCTCCGCACTTAATCCTCACGACAGTCCAGTATTCTCCCCACTGCACAGAAAAGGACACTGGGTTTTGAGAGGTTAAGTGACTTGAGCTTTTGAACGTCGCATGGTGGAGGGCCAGTGGGACAGTGGAGAAGAGGGAAGGTGACCCGGCCGGCAGGGTGCTCTGCGTCTTGTGGGGCCTGTAGCTTTTCCAGCTTTTGCAATTAGAGCAGAGCCCTGCAGGAGAGGCCTGGGCATGAGCTGTGCTAGCGTCAGGGAGAATCCACCTCTGTGTCCTTGCTTGCTTTAAAACATGAACCTTTTTTTCTCTTTTATTAGGAGAAATAAAAACCAGCGATAAGAGAGCTCTGAGATAAGGCTGCCGGCGCCAGGGAGCGACGGGGTTTAGCACCTACGGAGAGCTTGTGGTCGCCACTGCTGCCCTGGGCCCTAACTGCTGTGGTCCAAAATGGTCCAGACCGATTCTGCTAAATTGTTTTGGGTCTAGATTCTAGATTTTAAAAAATATTTGCTTTACCTGCCAAAGAGCAGGATCTGTCTAGAGTCTGTACAATAAACACAAGGGAAAATGTAATCTCATCTCAATTAAGATGTACAGAAATACACCTAAAGCACTATGGACTTGTTTCTTTTTACCCTGCTTCTCTTGAAACGGATCTGTGATGACCATGTAAATGCAAAGTCTTGGAGTATCCCGCGTCCGTGAAAGGCGACGTTGGGAAGTTGTTAGACTCCTCCGTTGTAACTTCCGTTTTCATTGTGGACTCCTGGTAGAAACCCATGACCCAGGTGTTCCACGCCTTCCTCCGAGGTCACTTGTCTCCAACTCAAGGACTCTCCAAAGACGCACGGATCAGCTGCCTACATCTTAGGCCCTTGAAAACATCTGGGCAGCTGGGTCTCCTGACAGGCCAGGCCAGTCTCCCTAGATGAGCAGTGGGTGTCAGGAGGCTGCACAATGAGCAACCCCCCAGCCACTGCCCCCCCGCCACCACCCAGCCTGGCAGCCCACGGCTCAGGAAGAGTTCTCTGCAGACTGCACGAACTTGGCTCTTGCAGCAGGCAGCTGCATGGATGACAGACCAAGAGCTATCTCTCCCGGGATAAGAAGCTGGACGCTGGGCGATGCCAATTCGTTTTTCCCCTCATCAGTCAGTGGAAACTCACGTCCACAGATTGATTTCCAAAGGAATAAATGTTATCACCAGATGTCATCCTATGTAGCAGCCCCCTTCAGGAAAACTTTTCCTTGGTAATGGGGGAAATTTGACTTCAAGGAGCCAGTACGCAGCTGTGTACGATGGGCTTCATCTTTTTACATTAGACACGCTCTATTGTGAGCTCTCAGTGACTTCACTTCCCGTCTTGCGTGCAGCTTTGCCACCATTGCAACATAACTGATGCTTTATGAGGCCAGTTTCATAGTCGGCTGGCACCTCTGCACTCTCTGAGGTACCAGTGACAGTTACGACAAGACTGGCTGGCCAGGCACCTGTGGCATTCAGGCATGCTACAGGCAGCCACACCGCCCGAGAGAAACGTATGGAAGTGAGACCTCGGATCACAGACTAGCTTCATCTCCCTGAATTTATTCCATGCAAAACCAAACCAAAACAAAATGCCATCCACCAGCTAGAAGTTTCCATCAAAATCGGAATGAGTCTAAGTGCAGTGTTCACCTCAAAAATGACTTCCTTATTATTGACAGTCCACGGATATGAACAGAAATGACCATTTTTATGAAAGAAGATTTCATGATAGGAAAGGACAAGGGAAGTGGAGCGGAGGTGCACCACTGTTCACCGTCACCAAGGACTAAGGTGGGGCGGGCAGTGGAGAGGGAGGGTGTGAATTCGCTCACACAGTTACCGTGAGATTCATTACTCGCCGTACGATACGGAGTTTTGGCTATAAATTGGCCAGGTTAGTGATTCCAAAACAAGGTAACGTAAAAAGGACCAGCACAATTCCCAACACAAGAGCAATTCCATTTCACAAAACCACAGAAAACCAACATCATTTCAAACATGGAAAGCAGAACCCAAACAAACAGACAACAGCAACAACAATCAACCGTGGAAGTCAGTATCTATTCTCACAGGATGTGACTGACAAGTGCATGAGAAGCTTGGTCCCAGCAGGAGAGTTTACAGGCTTATGTGCTGGAAGGAACCCAGTGGACCTGTGAGCTCATATTTTCTTCTGGATATCAGTTAAGGAAATCAAGACACACATATGCTGAGTTTTCAAAGCCTCATTTCACTCTGGAATCTTTTGATTAAAATAGAAATGCTCTTGTTTTGAGAATGCGGGCCAACTAGGAAGAGGCACATGAAGTAGTCAATTACATGAACTCTGTCTATGTGGGTTTCCGACTTTAGAATTAATACTACAATTGATTATTCTTAGAAATGCTAGCAATAAAAAGCCCTCCAAATTCATAATGTCTAATCCAATCTTGAAATTGACAGATCTGAGGTAACATCATCAGAACCACATTTGTTATCTGCAAATTGCTGGAGATACAGTGTTGGTCCCACGCTGCCCTCCCTGGAGCGGCTGATGGCAGGGCAGGCTGAGCTATCATTAGCTGGGCACAGGGATGACCTGCATCTGCCTGTCCTGGTGCTCGGTGACATCTGATACTACGAGCTTGTTTGGATCCCGGGGAGAAGGTATGTGAACTTGATTCCATAAGGCTATTTTGCTAAATAAAACAGCTTTCTTCAAAAACGGTCTTAACAATCATGTAATAAATAACAGAAAACTGTTCTAGGGAATGAAGATCAAAGTCATTTTATTTGCTGCATTTGTGGGGGTGGGTAAAATGTAAGAGGGTTGGGCTCTGAGCCTACTTTTGATTTGTAAGTGCTCTACACTATGAAATCACCAGGAAATTAGTGCCTGAAATGTGGCCGCTTAACTGCAGGCCTCCAAGTGAGGCAGGGACTAACACCGCTGATGCAAATCTTGCCACAGTAATTAAGGCACATGTTCAGCCTGACGGGGAGCCACCCAATCTCTAGGGCACTCCTGGGGTCCTCAAATACATTGTAGGATTCAGCATCTAATGGAATTTTCAGACCAAATGTAAAAGGAAGGGACGGCTGGTTTACAAAATTTCACCTGCTAATATTGTGCTATAGGCTCCGTTTTCCTCCCATTCTGTTCTTAACAGAGAAGGAACTACGGGTAGCATGGAAGAACAGAGGCAGCCTGCGTTACACAGTTCTCTGAAAATTACAGACTGCTGTCCCTTAAGGAGCCGTAAAGTCAAGTTAGTGTGTTACAATCAGAATTTTTTTTTTCTAATGAAGATAGAGTAGTCCAGGAAATGCTAGGAGTAGATTAATCATTAATAAACTTTCATTAGAGTGTGTATTGTTTCGCCAGACTTTAGTTCTGTCTGTCTGTCTGTCTCTCTCTCTCTCTCTGACTGTCTCTCTCTCTCTCTCTCTCTCTCTCTCGTGTGTGTGTGTGTGTGTGTGTGTGTGTGTGTGTACAGGTTCAGGGTTTGGATAACTTGCTCTACGAGATCCCCTCTGATCTGAAATCCTCTGAGCGCGGGTCTGCTCGGCTGCATGCAGCTCCTCACGGGCTGAGAAGCCTGCCAGCGACACAAGCCTGCCATTGTTTAAGGTCTACTCCTGGGCCCCGCTTGCCACCAATCAGGACCAGATTTTAGAACATAGTAGGGACTTGTATTGCCAAGGAATGGAACTCTTTCCACTAACAGCTTCGGCATTTCTCAACTTGTTCAACTCTCCCTGGCTGTGCTCTCTGGAAGGAAGCCTTACTGCCCCAGGGAGGCGGGAGGGGTGCGGACGACCACAGGCCCCTCCCCCAGCTGTGGTCTGGCCTCCCATTTCCTGGCTGATTACACATCTTTGGCTCACACATCTTTCACTGCATTAGGAACCACTACCAGCAGAACCTTTCAAGATGGTAGTTTTCATCACTTTTTGCCCCACAGTAGATAATTACAAATAAAAGACTTATTTATCATATTCCATCATCATAGCGCTTTTCCTGACATGACTGACCCTTTTCATTCAGAAGGCCCATTTTGCGGAGTTGAGGGCATCCTCCTTCAGAACATGAAATTGTGCAAAGCCAATACAAAAAAAATTAGAAATCGAGGTCTCTGAATTAGAAATTGGGGTCAAAATACTGCCTCTATCACTTGCCAACTGGGCAGTCCTGCACATCGGTACCTCTCAGGGACAGCGGAGAAGTCAGATGAGGTCAGGACAAGGTGCTAAACACAATTCTTGATCCCCAGAGGAGCATCGTATGTCTGGAAAAAGCAAAGTCATATTTAAAAACAGTCTCATATACAAAAGTATATTGTGTACATCATAAAACACCCAAATACAGGTTGGGCCAATCAACATCAGAATGCATTTTTCAGTTCTTCAGGGTTAACACGAGGATTTCTTCCACAAGTAGGAGTATTTCACACTTTACTAGCTGCATTCCTTAAGCCAGGATGACTGTCTTTAGAAGAAAGATGTTTTTAAAACGATAAGATATATTTTGAATTTTCAAACAGTTAGTTACATATGGCTTTCCCAACAGAAAAGGCTGGCCATTTCTTGGCATTTCGAGCCACATGTGTGAGTTCTGACTTTCAATCAGGGTTTAGCACGGTGTTTTTTAAGAAATTAGGTGAAACTTTTACGTCATAAGATTTATGGTTTTAGTAAATCACGTGCTTTCCATCCTTTTAAATGCCTTCATGTTATACTTTATCATCTAGTTTGCTTATATCTGAATCCTA